ATAATTAAAAAACATAAGTCATACATAATTAAATTTAAATATCACCATGAAACATTACATAACCAAATAAAATATCTCATTAATCTTAACTAAAATACTCTAGTATAAATTTTTTTTTATTCCTAATATATATATATATATATATATATAAAAGAGGCCTGACTAGGCCCGGCCTGTGGTCCAAGCCCTAGGCCCTATTATGAGTGGGATTGGGCTTGGGCCTAGGCCCCATTTTTTGGACCATGGGTCAGCCCAGCCAGCTAAAAATGCAAGAGCCTGCAAAGCCCGCTTGGGTCGACCCGAGCCCGAGCTTGGATGGGCCTGGCCGGGCCATTATTACATCCCTAAATATGGATATGTAGTGAGACGGTACATGAACATATAGGTGATGTAGACAAATAAGTAGATAGTAAACAAATAGATAAATAGGAAGGAGTTAAATAGTGTTTTAAATTATAATTGCCTCTTTAGTCCAAAAATAATAGAATTTGTGTTTATTAATCCAAAAACTTCAGAAATAAATCTCTAACTTGGGTATATATATATATACATTTTTTGTTTTTCATATTTTTTTTGTTTTTATTTTTAGTGAATATTTTAAAAAATTTAAGCAAATTTGTTACTTTTTTAGATGCACTTACTTAGATATATCTAAATAATAAAATATTTGTGGAAAAAATTTAAAAAAATTAATAAATACTTTTCACAAATTAATAAATACACAAAAATATGAAAAATATACTGAATTTTGTATTTTTATATTTTTGATATTTAGTGAATTTTTTGAAAAAAATTTCACAAATATTATATTTTTTAAGTGTATTTATGTTAGGTGTATCTAAAAATTTTTTTAAAAAATACTTAAAATATTAACAAAATTTAGTGGAAAAAAAATACAAAAAACAAAAAAATAAATTTTTTTGAAAAGTATTTTCTCTAAACCCAAACCAAGTGAATCAGATCATTTTGCTTCCATTGTCTTGTGGCTCTCTCTACTACGGGATAGATAAATTCTCTCATAGAAGTTAAGCTCTTTGAAATTGCACATAGAAAATCTTTATTTAAAGAGAACTTGGCATGAACAAACAAAATCCAAAAGCTAAAAGCAAGTAATGAAAAGAAACATGGAAAAGAGAGATATCCAAACAAGCCCCAAAGGGCAATAATCTAATACATATGCAACTGAAAATGATAAAAAGTCTAATTCTCGATGATGAACCGTTTGATAATGAGCATCAACTGATCTGAATCAGGTGAGTTAGGATCAACGGTGAAGAAGCCATGTTGCTTTCCTTCAAACTCCACGTACTCCACCTTTTTTCCCCAACCTTCCAACTTCCTAGCGTAGTCCTCTGCACGGTCTCGTACACTGCTAGAAAAACGACTTTTAGCGGCCGCTATATGTCTGAAAAATGCCGCTAATTCCTTTAGTGACACTTACCACCAAACGCCAAAGGCGCGGCCGTCGCTGTAAGTTTATGATGCTTTAAAAACATCGTAAAATTAGTATAGGTGACGTTTAAATGCCGCTAAATGTGGCAACCAACGGTAACATGACGTCACACAAGAATTCAGCGACGCTTCAAAAACGTCGTAATAACTTTTTTGTTATTTTAAAAATATAACTATAGTGGCGTTTGAAAAATGCCGCAATAGATTTTTATTTTTTTTATTTTTATTTTTATTTTTTTTAAACTACTAATTTTGTGAGATTTAACTTTAAAAATATACCTGTAAAATAGCAATAATGAATAAAATTATGTATAGACATATATTTCTGTGAGATTACTATTCCCTCACATCTATAATAGTACCCAATACAACATCCTTCAAGAAAAAAATCCAATAAGTTCAATCCCAAAAAACCAAGCAACCATCTCCTGCACAGTTTCACATCATCCATCGATCACAATGGAACTCAAACAGGACAAGTACCCATGACACCAACACTGACTTTACACAACACTGAAGTATATAAGTCAGGGAAGAGTAAAGCGAAACCAACCAACATCAACCACCTTCTTGAAACTGTCAACAATCAAAACCCAAACACAAACAACCACTAAATTATCTTTGCATTGCTCAAAATAACAAAAAAAGAAGGAAAGAAGAACAAACTTTCTTTCACTTTCTTTGCAGGAATCAGAAGTCCATAATGCTTCAAATGGGTCAGCCAGGGTTTCCTCCCTTTTTCTTAATCCTGTTTGTCTTGTTCTATTTTTGTTCTCTCTCCTTTTCTCAATCAGAAACTCCACAAAACATTAATTCTTCATCAGCATATAATTCTCCAGTAATAAGCCCAACACTTGGAATTCCGAACGATCTTCCAATCTCTTCGACACAAGTGCCAGTCATAAAGGCAACTCGATCACTGGATCGAAGAGTTGTTAAAGCTGTTGTGGCCACAGCTGCAAGTACTCTAGTCATTGTTGGGATCTTGTTCTTGCTCTTCCACAAATTAGCCTTAGCTCAATAGTATCACAGAGAGAAATTTGATTCAAGTTTTCGTCGAGAAGAAACAATGGTGGTGAGTCATCAAGAGTTCAGAGAACTAGGAGGAACTCTGAAAGGACTAATTGTTGATGAGAAAGGGTTGGATGTTCTTTATTTGAGAAAACTTGAACAAAGACACCTCATGAGTTGTTTCTCTAAAGTTTGGGTAAATCCAATTTCAATGGAAGAAGAAGAAGATGAAGAAGAAAAGAGGATTTATACTAGAGGAGATAAACTCAATATAGCGATCCCGGTTGTCCCTTTACTGTTCTGTTGTATTTCGGACTCGGTTCTGTGGAGTTGGTAGATATATCTATCTTGTTGTCATCCTTTAATTCCATTTGTTTGAGTTTTAGGATGTGTTGGGCATGTTTCGAACAGGTGGGTTGAACCTTGATCTGAAATCTAGTTGCCAGGTTTTTGGTCGTTCCGCTCGAGTGGGCCTTGTTACGCTCGAGCGGATATACTCCCAGTATTTCGTGTCCCTGCAAAACTTCTGCAGGTATGATTTTTACGCTCGAGCGGTAGCGCTCGAGCGGGTACTCTGGCACTCGAGCGGGTAGTACTTTTTGGTGTAAGTTCTGGGAGGGGAAAATCTACGCTCGAGCGGACTGGTTTTCGCGCTCGAGCGGATGTACTTTATTCTTGTGTCTTGGCGCTCGAGCGTACCTAGTTTTTTGTTCTTGACGCTCGAGCTTTGTGTTCTCCGCTCGAGCGGGAATGTCGTATATCAATTGGCAGCTGGGCATTTTAAAATCACTTTTTGCATTCTCTCTCTCTCTCTCTCTTACTTTCTAAAAAGACATTTTGAGAGCTCCTCTCTCTAGAAACTCCCTTTTCTCCAGGGTTTGATCTAGTTAGAGTGTCTCACTATCCTCTGGCCTTTGTAAAAAGTGTGTGGATCGTCGAGGGCTCCATTTCGATCCGTGGATCTTTGAGTTTGGAGCACTTTGGTTTTCTTCAACTTTCCCGTTTGAGCCCTAACTTCGAGGTAGGGATATCCTACTCCTTCTCATGAGTTTTGTCTTTGAATTTTAGTATTGTGATGAGTTGGGGGTTGTTGGGTAATTTTGAGAAAGTTTGGGCCTTTGTGTAATTTTACAAAAGTTGGGATTTTGTTTATATAAACTTATATGCATGTTTGGCATAGAGAAATGAGATCAATATTGGATTATTGGTGAAAATGGAACCTTAGGGTTGTGATGTTAATTATGGAAAATACTCTAATTACATTGGTAAATTAATTGGTATAATTAATTTGAAGAAAAGAGGAATTAAATTGAGAATGTTGGAATTGGGTGTGTATGGGATTAAAGGGTGTAGTTAGATTCGTTCATCGCTCACCTAGTTGAAATGTTGATTATATATCCATTTGGTGCATTTATTTTCAGTATAGAAATAACTACTTTGGGCTATCGGTGGAGGATAGTCTTGATTATTGTAGACAATGCATGATAATTAGGCAAACTAAAACTAATCAATTAAGTAAGCCATTGAACATGGTGGTCAGTACAATACAGCACTAAAATGTGTATTGATAGGTTGAATTTGTATATGATAATTGTTTATATACATTGTATTGTGTGGGAAGAGAAAAAGGCTGTACTCCACGGTTTATTGGAAGAAAGGGGCTGGACCTCTAAACCGGATTTTGTGTGACAATGATACAGCACTACAATGTGTATCAGGCTGCGAATTAGAAGTGTTTTTGTTTCATTAATACAGCACTACAATGTGTATTATTTGAGACTTATGGAAGTGTTTGAATTGATTTGATATAGCACTAAAATGTGTATCGTTACCAATTGTAAAGTATAGAAGTGATTCTATGTTATGTTGATACAGCACCGAAATGTGTATCCTTCGCAAAGTGTGGGAATGGTTTATGTGTTATTGATACAGCATTAAAATGTGTATCCCTCATGAATTTTGAAAGTGTTTTAAAGATGAGTCTAAATCTCATTAAGATATTTGGCTAGGTGTTGAGCCTTGTTTTCAAACTCAAAGTTGGAAAGGACATGGGAAATGAAATGTAACATGGACTTAATGTCATGAAATCGAAATATGATATAAGTGGATGTATCTGTGCTGACCATCTATCAACTGCTAATCTTTTAGTCATTGTTCATGGCTGGTTTAGTGTATTTCTACTGGGCTGTGGCTCACCCTTTATGGGACACATATTCAGGTACAGGTAGTATGCCACATCCAAGGACATAGCTTGGAAGGCTAGAGGCAGACAGACTGTTTTGTTGTTTGCTTTCTTTTGATGTATTACATGTAAATTCAAGCCAAGGGCTTAATATGTATTGAGTTAGCACTCTTCTTTTTGTAACTAAGTGTTAACTTGGAAAGCTGCAAGCCCGTAGGGCATTTGCTTTTGTTGTTAACATGTAATACTTTTGTAAGGAACTACTCTGATGAATGGAAGAATATTTATCTTTTATACCAATGCATGTCTAAGTTGATGGGTTTTAATGTTATTATTTTGAGGGCGTTACACTCAAGAACTCTGAAAGAATTCAGGAAATCCCATTGCTTCATGAGCCATGTAATATGGCTGATATTGCCAAAGTGGCAAAACCAGCTCCACTTATTCCTTCACCCATTGTGACACCACCATAACCATTATGCCCCCCCTCAACCACCATAACCTTCTCAGCCTCCACCACCGCCACCACCACACCACCACCTCCTCCATTACCAACTTCAGCAAAGAGAAATCCTGCACCACTACCTCCACCACCTGGGACTGGTGGGATGAAACTGAAGCCACTGCACTAGGACAAGGTTATAGCTAATGCTGATCATTCAGTGGTCTGGGATGAGATCAATGATGGATCTTTCTGGTAAATGAGGCCTTGAATTTAACCACGTATTCATGTTTTTCTTCTTCTTTACTATCCGTCTGATAATTGACATTGTGTTCCTTGTTATTGGTCTTCTATGTTCATCTGATTTAATGATGATCTTATGGAAGCTCTATTTGGATATAATGCCACCAATCACAGATCTCCTGAAAGCAGTAAAATTTCAAGTTCAATTAGTTCCAGCTCTGTTCCACCTGCTCAAATCTTCATCCTTGAGCCTCGGAAATCCCAAAACATAGCAATAGTACTTAGATCTCTTGCAGTATCTCGGAAAGAAATCCTTGATGCCCTTCTTGAGGGCCGAGGCCTTAATTCTGATATACTCGAAAAACTTGAAAAAATCTCCCCAACTCAAGAAGAAGTATCCAAAATCCTTCAATTCCATGGCAATCCAACAAAACTTGCTGATGATGAAACAAAGAACTCAAAGAACTATTAAAGAGTGACTATATTTATTACTATTTAGTATTTACCAGCAACAAAGAACTCAAAATTAGTGGTTTATATTTCAATTATACTTGTTGAACCACTGATTGCTGCCAAAGCAGGGCTTACTCACACCGTCAAAACAACAGTGGACATCATATGTAACCGTTTGACAAAATGATGGCCACGGCAAAATCAAATCCAGTGCTAGATGTTCATTTATGAGCAATGATCATCGTATCACCTGATGATTCATGAATCATTTAGTATAAAAAATTTACACAATCATTTAGTATAAAACTTTACGCAAACATTTTGAATTCATGAATTCTCTAACTATTCCACAACGCATAAAAAATAATTAAAAAATAAAGAAGATAAATTTAGTATAAAAAATCTCAGCCTAATTAAGCCATACCCAGAAAATGAGAGACAGAGAAGGGTTGAACCTTGGCCACATTGGTAGCACAAGCTAAAGGCAGAAAAAGGTGTGGCACAGTTATAGTTGCCAACTCTACCCCAGCACCGAACTCCTTTAGAAGATCACCCGCAAAACAAAGCTGAAGGGAATCATGATTTTGACCAAAGATTACTTGTTAGAAATCATAACTAAGTTCAGTGAAAATCAACCACAAGAATAACTATGATCTATATCTCTTCATATGAGTGGGTACCGCATTTATGCAATCATAACATCCAAGAAATTTAGCAAATTATATGGAACTGTGGTTATATTAACAAATTTTATTACAACAAACTAGAGTAAAAAAAAAAAAACAATAATATACTTAGCTAGATTTGCCAACGTTTCAAATTTAATCACAGCCTTTCCTTCCGGATGTTCAAGGGAAGGAAAATGCATTATCATTTCCTTCAAAGTGTACTTTGTGCTTTTCACATCATTATCCCATAAGATGCTCTGTAATTGAAGTGCAGAAACTGTATTTACAGGTCAAATTGTAAGAACTGAGGTCAAGCAAAAACTGAAACTAACACAGATTCTCATATGACATGATAATTAAAAAAGACATTGTATGTGAGGGTGAGGGTGGAGAAGAAAGGCACACAATCAATAACAGCGAAAATAATATAGAATAGCAAAGGATAATGAACAAAAATGGATGGGCACAAAACTAGATAGCAGATTTCCAAAACTAAGCATAGAACCATCAACATTGAGCTTAGAGAGAAGACTAGACTGTACTGCAAAGGAGTCTCATCTTGATGTAGAACCTGCATGAAAATTCAAGATACTTAGGAAATCCATGAAAATAATCGGCCATAATTCAACGTTGAACTCAAATATACAGTGCTAACCAACCTGCAGTGTACACACTGTATCTGTTGAGGAAAATATCATTCCTATTGCTGAATCAAATTGGTAAGAAATAAGGTCGAGCCAAAAAGTTATATGATAAAAGAAATGTTAGTACATTATCATGGCATGTTAAACCAACACCCAAGGAAGTCAAGATGGATAAGGATCAAACCAAGATAGTCATGCGGAGTCAACCCAACAAACTATTGCTAAAGATTAAAGTTTTGATGAGTAAACTAACACGAAAACTATGGCGAGCAAGCCAAGGATCATTATATAAACTATTGCATGTACCAAACCAAAATTGAAACTATATAATATTTAGACTTCTAAAAATAGTCAGTTCCAGCGAATATAACTTACTAAGCTCCTCGAATGAGTCAAATAATCGTTTCCAAGATTGGGAATTTACATAACCAATAACCAAACAAGCAGTCCTTTAATACGTGAAATTAATGAACTACCATTATATAAACTATTGATGCACATAATTGTTAAGGACAACTAAAACATTCCTAAAAAAGTTGTATTTGAGAAGTACCTATCCCCCAAAGCATGATTTCTAAAACTACAAAAAAAAAAAAAAAAAAAAAAAAAAAAAAAAAAAAAAAAAAAAAAACATGAATAACACAATGACAACCCAATTTGGGAAAGAAAAATGCACAAAAAAAAAATAAAAAAATTTAAAAATCAATAGACCTTAAAATCTGACAAGTGAAGTTCATATGCTGTTCTACAACTGAAAATAGGGAAATTTCTCATCTTCCATGATAAAATTGGACAAGCTTTAAGATCCTTAGTAGAGTATCCAAATAAGACAACAAAGTCCAAAAACAAAAACAAAAAAGAGTCATACTGAGTTAACCAAGATCCTAGAGCATCCAAATAAGACAATCAACCAAATTAATTTTTCTGTTTTGGTTGTATATGCACTAAAATTAAAAGCAACAAAATTGAGCATTTTCAATATTTAACACACCATGAAAACTGATAATTGGACCACACACATATGATGCAGACAACTACTAAACTGTGATGAATTCTTTGTATATAAGCATTCTCTGTATATGTAGGCGAGAACCCAAATTAAATTAAGTTATTTGGCATTTGGTAACCAGTAAACTGGTAACCCTTATTATTCCTTGGCCAGCTGGACTATATATACTATCTTCATTATTATTATTATTTTCTCTTGACTAAGAACTAACCAGTAGAAGAAGAATGAGACTAAAAGCAAAGTAGGTCATTAATTTCTCTCATTTTCACCACTTGGAAGCAACTCAATAGTCTATCAATGAGTAAAAAACTATATTTAGATTTACAAATTTCATTATTAATGAATATTACTACAAGTCTAACTAGTCTATCATTGCATCCACGAAACAACACTTTGGTACGAAATCCACACAATTTAAGCAAAATAACAAGCAGCTATTCACAACCAGAGCACAGAAGAAACATTAATTATATACCCACTAAATCTTCACAAACCAATGGGAAGAAGATGAGCAAAGAGAGATTCACAAACAGCTATTCAAAACAGAGCACAGAAGAAACATCTAAGAAAGAAACAAGTTTCAAATGTTCCTAAAATTTGAGTTCAACTAACCTCTGATCTCACTGATCGAAGAAGACGAAGAGTTCCAAATCCACAAAGACGAACACCACAACTGGAATCACCGAGCTGAAGAAGGTTTTGAAGGATTCGATCGATTTTTCTAAGATTGTAGAAGGTGGTGCTCACAATCGAGAGAGAGAGAGCTTCAAAATCAAAATCGCATTCGCTCTGAGATGGATCACTAAGAGGAATCACCATGCTGAAGAGGAATCGAGCGAGAGAACTTCGTATTGATTCGATCCTCTGCGACTGAAATTAGGGTTTAGAGAGAGAGAGAGTCACCTTGGAGTTGTGAGAATAGATCGACTTTGTGTAGGGTTTGGAAATAGGGGTTTGAAGAGAGACAGGGAGTGGGTTTGGAAATATGGATTTGGAGGCGCTTTCAAACGACCTCTATTCAGAAACGGGACCGTTTTAATTAACACAAAAGGGGACGTTTACAAAACGTCGTTAATTATCAGAAAAGGTGATGTTTAAATAAACGTCGTTAATTAAACGTCGCTAAATCCATGATTTCCTGTAGTGGTAGCAGATCACTACCCCCGACCAGCACAAGAATTGGACCTAGATCTTTTGATTCCAAATTTGGGCTAACCGGTCCGAATGGATTCACAAGTGGGTGATCCATGGTCTCTCCAATTGGTATTGATAGCCTCCAAAACCTACCCAAATTATTACCCAATTACTCAATTAATTAATCCAACAATTTAAAAAAAAAAAACAACTAGTATATATGTGGGTACAGATTTTTTTTGTTTCCCAATTTTTTATATTCGATTGTATCATAACAAAATTTGAAGGCATAATTTAATAATTTGAGACTAATGGAATAAAGAAATTAGGATAAATTACAAACACACCCCCTGAGATTTACTTAGATTACAAATTATCTCTTGTAATTTTAGAAATTACATTATGCCTCCTAAGGTTTCTAATTTCATAACAAATATGTCATTTTATTAATAAATAATCAAGTTAATTAACAGTTTTTAATAATGTTAAAATTTTATTTCAATTAATAATTCATATAATTTTATTGTTGTATAGGTGAATAGTTAGAAATTTTACTTTTTCAATTAATTTTGTTAAATAAAAAATTCTAACATGAAGGTAATTGTAATTTTTCAAATCACAAGAGACAATTCGTATTTTAAGCAAACCTCAAAGGATGTATTTGTAATTTACCCAAGAAATTAAAAAAAAATCCTATCTATTCTTTTTATCTATCTATCTATTACTCCCTCCATCTTAATTTGTTAGCTCCTTTTGGAAATTCTTACTTTTTAAGGGACACACAACCATTACACTTAAATTTAAATTTCAAAATATTTTTTCATTAATGCCCTATCTTTTCTAAATTTTAATATAATTATAATTACTCAAAGGGATAATTTGGAAAAATCAAATATTTTTTACTTTGACTTTTCAAATAGGACTATCATTTTGGGAGATCCCAAAATAAAATAGTGGACTAACAAAATAGAACGGAAAAGTATCTTTTATCATATAATGGGAAGGGTTGGTGTTGATACTTTTTTATCACATAATTTTTATTTTCAGATTATTCTTTTGTAATAGATTCTTTTATTGTGATCAATTTCAACTCCTGTGAAAAATTTAAACATATTTTTTCTTTGAATTCAACGTTTTTAAACATTCACCCACCTAAATTACTCCTAGTTTTTACTTTATTTTTTGAACATCCAACTACTTAATTTCAACTGTATCAATATTTCTTTAGACCCTTGTCATTCACATTTCTAGCCGCCCTCTTGCCAACCTTCCTCACCACCCCTAATCTTTTCCAACCCTTCTCCCAGCCCCCACTCATGCCCTTGTATTTTTTCTTTGAACACTTGACTATAAATTCCAACTATCTTAACAAATATTTTTGAAAGTTAAGGATGACAATAAAAGCTCAATACCATGATAAATTGTAATAAAAAAAATTAAAAAAAAAGGGCAGAGTGCAAAAAAAAAATGTACACTCGAATAGTTGATCACTCCTATATATATCTATATATATATATCTATAGAGTTAGGGTTATTTATTGTCGAAGACAAAAATCAACAACCCTCGGACGGTCATGACTCTTATATTTATATCTATAAGATTAGGAATCAATTATTGTCCAAAATAAAAATTTATAATTTGTTCTTATTATAGAATTTTTTTGTTGGACTATTTGTTGGGTGACTCATCACTTTTTCCTTATAGACTCTTTCTAGAAGTTTAGGTGTACAAGATGCCTATCATATTTATTTGTGTAAATTTTTAAAAATATACATATATTATCTTATAAAATCGCATAAGTTCTTATAAATATATGTAAATTATAACTTTTCAAAATTTTATGGATTAATTTATGTATATTTGTGAAAATTTACATGATTTTATAAAATAATTTATATATATCTGTAAGGACTTACATAAATAGGTAATACTAGAGATATCAAATTTTCTATCAAATAAATAACTAAATGTCTATGTATCCCACACCCATATAAAATATTTAATCATTCATTTGGTAGAAAATTTAAGACCTATAATATTTTCCTATATAAATACATATAGTATTTATTTGCACACCTAAGAATTATCCACTCTGTAATGGATTGATTATTTAACTATGATTGTTTGAAACTTGTGTCAATCTTTTTAGAATTCGTGTCTCACTTAAACTCTTAATATGAGTAATTATTCAGTAATTTTGAAATATAAATATGTAATATTTTATAACATTGTGATTGATGAAGAAAGTGAGTAAATAGGATATTATGTTTGGTAATTAAAGAACATGAAAAAACATTTAATAATGATTGATTAAGAATCATAAACACGTGATATTTTGAAAACATTCTATAATTTTTCCCGTTAATATGTACAATTATTGTTACTATTGATCTTTCTAAAAATATAGAAAAAAAACACATACCTGTCAATTAGTTCCCAATTGAAGAAAGCATCTTTAGGTCCCTCAGCCTCAGACTTAGAGAGAACCGTTCCACCGAAAAAAGGTGCCAATAGCACATACCCTCTCTCACTCTCACCGGGTCTAATTCACCCGACCCGGCTCCGAGCCTAACAGCCAAATTATGCGCCATATTCCCCCCAGACGAGTCGCCCGATATAAAAACTCGGCTAAAGTCAACCACATCACTCAACCACGGATCCGACTTGGCTTGAGCTTGAAGACTAAGCCACTTCACAGCCATATAGCCGTCCTCAATAGCAGCCGGTAGTCGGTTCTCAGGAGCCAGCCGATAGTCAGGGGTGATGATCAGGGCTTGGAGATCTAAAGCGAGGCGAAAGCAGTAGTTCTGGCAGTTGGGCCAGGTTCGGGAGCCGATGCAGAAGCCGCCGCCGTGGATGTAGAAGAAGATAGGGAGCTTAGCTGAGGAGGAAGTGGCTGGCTTGTAGAGGCGGAGGTGTAGATTGTTGATGGAGTTGAATTGAACGTCTTTCCAGATAACAGAGCCGTCGTCATGGACAAGGACGTTGAAGCTAGGTTTAGAGGATCGGATGATTGAGCCGTCGCTGTACACCCTGAGGACGCCTCGGCACTCGTCCACCTCGTACGGCGGCGATGTGATGGCGATGGGGGTGGCGGAGGATCCAGACATTCTCTCTCTCTCTCTCTCTGTGTATCTGTGTGTTTATGAGGTGTGTATATATACATACGTAGAGAGAGAGAGAGAGAGAGAGAGAGAGAGAGAGAGAGAGGAGGAAGGAACAGGGGAAGAGTTAAAAAGAGAGAGGTTGGGTTAGAGAGGAATTATTCATTGCCTATTTATGTATAATGAAGATGATTAAGGTGATGGCAATGTGCGTTTGTATTTTTATGGGTAGTGGTTTAAGTCAAGACAAAGGGCCATTTCGAAACATTAAAAAAAAAAAATTAAAAAAAAATGATTAAGAGTTAATTTTTAATTTATTTTGAGTTATATCATCGTTTACATAATAAAAAAAATTAAATATCAAAAA